GTCTTTATAGGACCACACACATCCGAATGGACTAGCTTAAGGAGATTCTATTTCCTTATAAGTGGATGACTCCTAAAGAAAACTCTGTTTTGTTTTCCGATCAAGCAATGTTGACACTTCTTCAAGTGATTATCCTTCATATCGGACAATAACTTTTTCTTTTTCAACACCGTCATGCCTTTCTCAATCATATGAGCCAATCTCTTGTGCCATAGTTCAGTAGCTTCCTTACCTTTAACAATATTCATATCATCATTCAATAATTTAACATGCACGAAATATAAAAAGGAACACTTCTTTCCTTTTGTCACTACCATAGAACCCTTGGACAGCCTTCTATCTATCATTTTTTAATATGTTACAAAATCTTTTATCATCAAGTCTTCCTACCGAGATTAAATTCAAGCAAAAGTCAAGAAAATGCTTCACATTTTTTAGAATCGGCTTTATTCCAATATGAGTCTCTTAGCACATGTCTCTAATGCCAGCAATTTTGGATAACCCATTATTGCCAACCCTTATCGCCCTAAAACCATCGAGCATGTATGAGCTAAAAAACTCCTTATGAGATGTAACATGTATCGAAGCTCCATCGTCAACCATCCAACAATGCTCATCCGATGCTATGTTAACTTCATCGATATCATATAAAATCGAAACTCATCAGCTTGTATTAACTAGATCTTCATCAACATCATTGTCATTCTATTTGGTTTTGTTGTTCTTATTTTCTTTCTTTAATTATCGATAATATTTTTTGATGTGACCCATATCACCACAATAATAACACTTCATATTTATAAGCTTGCCCCTCGACTTGCTTATGCTCTTGTCTCTGCCTTTTGGATTACTTTTACTCATTTCCCTTGCTATAATAACTAACATATCAGATTGGGAAGAGGAATTTTGAGTCTTCCTTTTAACCTCTTCATTTAGAACTCCATTTCTAGCATAGGTCAAGGTCATCTTCCTTTCGGGAGTAGAATTGCAATTTGATGTATGGAATGTCTCCCAAGAATCCGATAATGAGCCAAGCAAATATAACCCAAGGACCTCATCATCAATTTCTATGTTTATGGCTTTCATTTGCTAAATAATTCTTATATATTCATTAATATGATTGGTTACGAAGTTCTCTCCTTATACCCGTAATTCATCCGTTGCCTAATTAAGTACATCTTATTATTCCCTCGCTTCTTTAGCAAAGAGATCTTCCAAACTTTTTCATAATGTTTTAGCATTCACCTCTTTTGCAACATGATTGGAAACATTATCATCAATGTACTCGACGAATAAAAGTACAAACTTGTTCATTCTCAAACTTCCAATCCTTATTTGTTTTTATCTTAGGTTTATCCGAAGCAAATACGAGTAGATGCCAACTCTTTACATATAAGAGATCTTTCATTTTTCTCCATATTGTTCAAGCTAAAAATAAACAACCAAGCTCTAATATCACTTATTCGGCAAAGAAACACAAATAACACAGATGAAACCTCGTTTACCCTTACTTGAACAATCAAACATAGGCTACAACCAAATACCCAAGCCAAAACAACTAATAATCTGAAAAATAAAATATCAATCACATAAGGAATACATAAATTTTTTACGTGGGAAACCTCCTCAATTTGAGAAGGAAAAAATCACGGGACCGTAGTCCACAATAACTTTCACTATCAATAATAATGAAAAATACAAAGAGTCCTCTCTAGATTAAACTAGAGGAATATATCAACCACAAACATCAAAGGTTACACACCATTGGCAAACCACATCAATAGATGATATACAAAAAAGAAATAGAAGAAACTAAGTTCAGATTTCACTAGAAAATAGCACTATTGTGAGTATCATATCTCTTATGAATGTGCTCATCAAATTTGAGCTCGATCCAATGGTTAACGAACCTAGAACTCAATTTATGCATGATTGGTCTATGCTAAAATTTTCTTCCATCTTTCTCTCTAAAGTTGCAGCTCTCTTTCCTTTTTTTTTTTTTTTGTTTCTCTCTCTACCTTCTTTCCTAATCTGATTTTAGAATAAAAGAGAAGAGAGGGTTTATTTAGAAATATCAAAATTACTTTTTAAGTGATTAAAAAATCATCATCCACATGGGCTCCAAGATTGAGCTCATGTAGGTAAACCTTTAGGTCATCCTCCAACTAAGAGAGAAACCCAACAATATCATGATCAAGCACGTAGGCAGAGTATCGAGCAGTGCAAGTAGTGTACTTAAATTAATGTGTTTGGGTAACATTCTTCATGAACTAGGTGTACCATTGCGCAAACCTCCTCATCGACAGTGTGGCAATGTCAGTACTATTTATTTGACAGCAAATCCATTGTATCATGGTCACACGAAATACCGGGAAATTGACGTTCACTTGTATGAGAAAGAGTTGCTAGTGGAGCAGTTCATGTTCGTTATGTCCCCACTGACTTGCAGAGTGCTAATGTACTGACCAAAGCCCTACTGGTTCGGTAATTTGAGACTTTGCGAGACAAACTTCAGATTGTTTCTTCTGCATGTTCAACTTGAGGGAGAATGTAAAGTAGTATCTCTATACTCATCCAATAGAGTTGTAGTTATCTAAAACAATTGTAAGACTTATCTTGTATATGATTATTCTGTATAAATCCAGCAGCTCTAACCAATGAAGGTTGAACACAAACACAACTTCCATTTCCTTCTTGGTATGCTATCCATCAAAGGCCATATGAGAGAGAGAGCCAAGAACAAAATTAATTAAGGAGACATAAAAGGGAAAAAAGGGTGTGGTCTGTCACAAAATAAAAGAAGGAAGAGGTTGGCTCCTCTTTTTGTGGGGAAGAAAACCCCAAGATTGCATAGAAATAACTTCGAAGCTTCTAACAGTTACGGACTTATTGAGAAAAGATTGACTGCTCGAGCTGACTCGTCTCAATTTCGTGTATTACTCTTTTACCCATCCGTTTTGATTTTTTTAGGAGTGTATAAAGCCGTCAGCAGAGGAAGGTGTGCCAACGATTCTTAGGCAATATTTTTTTTCTAATTTTTTTTATTTATTTATTTTTATTTATTTTTTTATTGGTGCCAGTGTTTGTCCATGTAATAGAAAACGTCTTTCATAATCTTTAAAAACGTGACTAATTTCTGAAATTCCCGATTTCTTCATTGACGAAACCATCTACATTTTATTTTAAATATCTAACGCCTAGCTTAATTCAACGTTCAACAACCCGATTGATAATTTTGTTCGACAAGTTATGAATACCATCCGAATTACAAAGTAAATCATTCTCTCTCTCTTTCTCTCTCTATATATAAAAAGTTGTCATAGACAATTTTTGCATAATAAAAGAGACCTCCTGAAAGAGAAGGGAGAACAAATGTTCCCAATCCAGAGCCACCTTGTAAAATACCATATTATTCTTTGCCATATGGTAATAATAATAATAAATAAATAAATAAACTAAGAGCTATATATTTTTTTTAATAGTTTTTCAAATGAAAAGAAGTCCCATTGTTAAAAAAGATCAACTATATTGCTTATATTCCCCATAGTTACCTCCGCCAGCACATAAGTAAGGATTTTTTTATTTATTTAAAAAAAAGAGGTTACCTTCATACATGCATGTATAAAGTTGTAGGGATCATATATAAGCAATTTGCTCTTCAGGCCTTAGGACATTTACTTTCGTCAGTCATATCAAAAATTGAAAAGGAATAGATTTGATATTACTATGCTGCAATAAGCACTAAAAATGCATTTATATTATTTCAAATTAAGAGAAAAGACAATTTACAAATAGAGTTAGAAGTAGAGCCAATTAGATGGAAAAAAAAAAACAAAACCCCAAAAATTTACTACCAAGATAAGAAATCATATTATCTATGAAGATTATTCTTAGCTACAGAGTCAGCCCCAAAGTTTCATTCCCTAAGAACATGAAGGAAGGTTACTGATTACAAGGAGATAATGACATTTGAAAATGAATTAAAGTTACTTCGAAATTTCCAAGTCCTATCCGCAGGACACTTGTTCACTAATGCAGTAGCATTAGTCCAAACTGATTCCAAAAACCAATTTACCCCATAGCCCAAATGTAAAGCAATACTGATTTCAAAACTTTTTGAATTATCAGGACCTCCACTTTGTTAGACTCGTTGATCTTTGCAGAAACTGGAAAGGTACACAAAAATTTCCACGGTGATCTCTCAAGACACCAACTATTTCACGCGACAGTGATAAATAAATGGTGTAACAGGGATAAATAAATGGTCTGCATTGGATAGTTCCATTGACCTGATTCAAGGAGCTTTGCAAATTTGTTTCGCTTATTTATCAGTCCAAAATGCCCAAAAACAATACCACAGATCCAGCAACCTGTGATCGAAGAAAACTAAATTATTGTATTTTAGACACTGCTCATATTTCAAACACTACATCAAGAAAGGGCATTATAGGCGGTTTTTTTGCCTTCTAGAGGAGGTTATAACCGCCTCTAGAGATTATAGAGGTGGTTTTTCAGACTGCCTCAGAACCACCTGCAATGCCGTGGTCTCTATTGTGTAGAGACGGTTTTGCCAACCGTCGGGGAATTCTGAAACGGTTTGTTGAGGCGGTTGGCACTGCCTCTACAATGTCAATTTTATTTTTTATGATATTTTAGCACGTAATTTTTTAGGTGGTTTGGAATCCTCTCTACATCTCTCGCATTTGTTTTTTAAATTTCGCACAAAATATTCAGGGTGGTTATTTAACTACCTTTAGAATTATAGTTTTATTTTGCCTTCAAGTTCAATTATTTACTCCATTTTTTGGTCAAAAAAAAATAAATTAAAAAAATTACATCTTGTTGAATGTAAATAAAAGAAAAATTATATAACTTATATAATATTCTTAAATTTACAACTATCAAATTCGAAATAAAATAAAATTTTAATACCATTTTTTAATTGATAAAATATACAAAAAGTCATGTAAAACCCGCATATTTGTCTCTGTTTTTTCTTGCTACATCTTTCTCTTCTTCTTTGCAAGGACGGTCAAAAGGTCATCTGCAACGTATGATCCAGGATTATACTTGACAGAATAAATTTTTGCTTTCATATCAATGTTGAGAACACTTGCTTCTTGCTGCATGCACCAAATTTTGACCTCTTTAACATAGAATCAATCAGATCTAAGCAGCAGGGATGCATAATAAGACTAATCTTCAATCTATAACCAATAAGAAAATTAATTTCTAGATCTCTTCAATCATACCTTGCAGTCATCACTCCCAGATACAAGCACTGAAGGTTCGGTCCGTGAAAAATCAATGCTCCAAGCTCGTTTTTCATGCTCATCATATTCCATTATGCTTTGGTGGAAGAGAGTCTTGGTTAGTGTAATGTAACACCTTGATCCAAAAATTTTAGGGAAATGACAATTTATGAAACTTAAAGGCCATTTTACAAAGCAATGAAAAAAATATTAGATTTGCATTCCAGCTTTGCAGGTTTCAGGCCTGAAAACAGCCACTTTCTACTCCCAGTACTGATTCTTGAAATTCCATTTATTGTTGCTTTGTTCTTTCAGTGTGTTGTGATGATATATTGTTTCTGAATCTTAAGACTCCAGAAAATAGGATCTTCAAAGTATGTGGTCTTGAGATCTTTCGTTTGTATTCATATGTTGCCAATTATGATCTCATTTTCTCTAAAGATTTACTTGGTCGTTGCAAGCCTATGCTAACATCACCACATCAAGAGGGGAAATTTTGAATGGGGCATGCACTGATCGGAAATTTTTGTTCTCTACTAATCTTATATCTTTTTTATTTCTTCATTTCCTTCCCTGTCCATATCATGTTATCTGCCTACACCTATATAATGCACTCCTTAGTTACCTGTGCAGCTTCAAGAATCAGTACTGGGAGTAGCTGGTTGTAACGTAAAAAAAAAAAAAAAAGATAAAGAAAAAAGACTCCCATTGATTGCTTAGTGATTTTGTATTTTATGCATTTATATTGGTAGCAAGTGCAAATTTGAAATTGCTTCACATCATGTTTTTCTCATGCTATCGTACCTTTAGTTATCAACTTATGAAGTTACACTATGGGACCCCAATCTCATTCATTATAAGAACTAACATCAAAACTTTTTACTTAACTAATAAAGTCAGGCCAAAGGAAAAAACTCCTTAGCAAAATAGATGAACTTCCCAAAGAGAAAAAAATAAGAACTATCTGAATTATGGAGATAATTAAAAGCAAAAGAAACATACCCGCTAACATAATTCCGTGTGATAGCAATGGATTCTTCCAAGTTGATCACCAAATGCCACCAACCATTGGGCATAAAGATCACTTCACTATTCTTACGGATGCACTCAATAAGTCTTATTTTCCAGCTTCTTTGTTACAACATAAAAGTTCATTTCCATTCAATTATGGAAACAGGGCATGCCACCTCCGCACCATCCGGGCTCGGATGTACACCGAAGGTATCACATCGGGATGGAACAAAACCCACTTCTTAGACCCCTTTACCACCGCATTCCAAGCGGATGTAGAATTAGGATCTATGTAAAATGACGAACCGGATCCTGCCGGGCCAATTATGATCCACCTAGCAGCATATAAATTGTCTATAACAATATAACATAAAATGCTTAAACCCATGATAACCCCAACCACACAAACTTATTGGGTGAAATGGTCCATTTAAACAATAAAAAAGAGAAGGCAAAACAGAAGGTAAGACAAGTATTGTTGTTTCCACAATGAGTAGGAGCATGAAACTGAACTCACCTTCATAAATCGCAAGTTTACCTACTTGTGAAACAATTCGATGGTAGACCACATTGGTCCCTTGAATAGAATTGCTTTGTTTACTATAAAACAAGCAACAATCGGAGCACAAAACTCCTTATTCCCTCATACTTGGGCTCTACCACTCGCATCTAATTGAATAATGATGGATACATCAAAAAAATTAATTAAAAATAGAGAGAAAAGAACACATACAAAATTAATTTAGCATACTTACCATTAGAGAGATCAATCGAACATCAATAGTGAGCACCTAATTGATTTGAAATAAGCCAATTTATGGATAGGAAAGACGCTTAAAATTACAAGTTATGTTTTCCGGTAGATAGTTATAATTTAGTTTCTAGCAATAAGGAGAGGAGGATGAACCGAGAGGAGAAGAAGGAAGAAGTAGAGGTGAAAAAAGAAGAAACAAAGGAGAAGAAGGAAAACCCTAAGAGGAGAGGGATTATGAAGCGTCTCTTCTCCCTTTCAAAACCAAAAAAAAAAAAAAAATGAAGAAGCAGATGAGAAGAAGGAAAACTCTCGACAATAAAGGCATGATCTTCTCCCTTTCAAAAAAAAAAAAAAAAAAGATAAGGAAAAGCGAGAGGAGAATAAGCACGGTAGAAAAAAGGAAAACCCAAAAAGGACAAGGGTAATGAAACGTCCCCCTTTTAGAACTGAAAAATATATATTAAGAAATAAAATAGCGCTTCTCCTTAAAATTTGAGACGGTTTTGTAAACCATCTCATATTTGTATTTATATAACGCATATCAAGTAAAAAAACCATCAAATTTTGAGGCGGTTTTCTAAACCGCCTCAATCATATCGCCTTTATACCTTTATTTTGTTGTAGTAAAAGCATAGTAGATTTGCCATTTTTGCAACTCTTTCATTAAACTAGTTTCCAACCGCTGGTCATCAGTAGTGGAAGATGCTAGGGGATGATGGTGAAATGGTGATATCACTGCATCTGTTCCAGCTTGCCTGTAAGTGTCTTCATCCCATTTCTCATCAATATCTGAATCTGCATTATTCTTTTCCCATATCACATGGACTCCACACTTCTCAACTTTATGAAGCCTCATTTTGACATTCAGTTCCAATTCCTCTACACCTTGCAATTCCTCTATCAAAATTAACGGTATGCGCTGTATCCAAGAATGCTTAGTGGAATTTCTGTCAAATGAAACTGGAGACCCCGTACGACATAATTCAAGACCGCTGCTCTTGTTTTTGAAAATAGCAACACACATTTCATACACAGGAACTGCTGTTTTTGAAGAGGTTGCATAGTTGGAGGTGGAGACAACCCAAAGAAGTAGTGCTTTTAGTTGATTACCATCTAAAACTGGAGGCATACGAAATGACAAAGAAGAACCTTCTCCGCGATGGCTGAACCATTCTGGTATCTCACCACCAGCAAGGCAAATGTGATAACGTTTACCTTTGCACAATCCCTATTGTTCGCAAGGAAAGCTAATTAAAATTTTAGTTCGAATAATTGTGTGTGTACCAGTAAGTGTAAGAGACAGAGAAAGAGAGACTACCTGAATTAGACTCTTCTTTAAGTTATTTGATAAATTGTAGCAGTCATGTGAGTTCCAAATAGACCAGTTATTGCCCACACATTCCATGCCGTGAATCTCTACTAAATGTTTGCACCCCTCTACATCCATTAAATGGGGTCTTTCCAGCTTCATTGGTATTCTTACTCTTTCAATTGATGTGCAACCATTGTAACGCAAGACCTGTATACTTGATGGAATCTCTGAGATTGATACAAGATTCAAGCATTTCTCAACCCTCAAAGAGAGAAGCTTAGGAAGGCGGCCAATGCTAGAAGGCAAACTGAAGAATTTGTTTCCTGACAAATTCAAATTTTCAAGAAAGGACAAACTCCCAAGATCAATGGAACTTGCAGCTTCAGATAAACCACAATTACTTAAATCTAGTTCTCTCAATGAGCTCAAACTAGTGAAAGAAGTTGGTAGCGTAGTTATGAAGCTAGAACAGCTTCGTGGTGAAAACCGTGATGAAAATCTAGAAAACCAAGATTTAGATGGTAAATCATGGTTGTAAGTATGTCCACCAAATGATAACTTTGTCAGATTCTTCAAAGATCTAGATGAAGTCGGAAGTTGCGTAATTCCAGTTCCTTTTGTTAGCAACTCAGTTAAGGATTCTAGACCGCCCAAGCTCTCTGGCAATTTCTCAAGTTGTGAGCACAAAGTGATGTTCAGAGTTTGAAGACATTTTAAGTTACCCATGCTTTCTGGAAGACTCTTTAGCCTCCAACATTTCTCCAAATTCAACAAAACAAGGCTCTTCAAATGTCCAATAGATCGATGTACCTCAACTAAACTCGTGCAAGCTGTCAGTATTAGTTTCTGTAGACGAGAGAGTCCAGTGAAGTTTGGCATTTTAGCAAGATATTTGGAATAGCTGAGATTGAGGATTTTCAGCTTGTTGAAAATCTGTCAAAAAAGTGAGAAAAATGGGGAAAGTAGTCATGTGAAAATGTAACATTAATCAAATTTAATTAGGGAAAATTTTTGGAGCCTATTGCATATTTTATACCTTAGTCTCCTTCCAAAGTTCTTTTATATTACTGTGCTGCAAATCAAGAACAACCAGGTCGTTTAGCTGGAAATCAGATGGCAAAGATTTCATGGGGCATTCATGCCAACAAAGCCATATCAACCCTTTGGGGAGAAGTCTGTAGCTTCCGGAAAGATGTGCTCCATGGATTTGGAGTAATTTCAAATGTCTCATGTTTGTAAATGATTTTGTGCTAAGATATACAATTTTTGATCCTTGTACATTTAATGCGAAACCCTGCACAGCATCTGTTCCCTGAAAATAGCCAAAAAGCAAATTAAACCAATTCATATTGCTTATTCCATATGTATTAATTTCTTACCATCTGTTTAATGATACATCGAATTCAGACATCCTTAAAAAGCAAAATTCTATTGCATTTTCCAAAATGGTGATGTGACACTTCACTAGTAATCTACAAGAATTATTGCAGATTATATTGTTGTAGCTTAATTATTAATTTATCAATAAAACTGATTTAGTAATATAGTGTTGGCAAAATTATTAACTCATTTATGCAATGCACTTTCCAAAGCGACTAGTTTCTTAAAGTTGCCTAAAGGTTTGACAAGAAATTACAATAAATAAGTGTCATTTCGAGCATATAAAACAATCGTCTCAATCCAAAGCTTAAATTATTGGATAAGACTCTAGGAATGATTTTATTTTACTTTATAACCTACATCCTTAAGTAAAAGTTTTACAAACTTGAAACTTTACATCAACCCACTACAACCTTCCGCTTGTTAGAGACTAGTATAAATTATATTCTAGTGCCTCACATATCAGCTTAAGCTTGTAGGTAAGATGGTCCTTTAATATGGTATTAGAGTTTGGTTGATCTTGAAGTCCCGAGTTGGACTCGTGCAAGTTCCATGCCCCAAATGTTAGGCTTTTCACTTGAGAGGGTGTGTTAGATATTAGTATAAATTATATTCTAGGGCCTCACCTATCGGCTTAAGCTTTTAGGTGAGATGGTCCTTTAATACTCGCTTAATTATTTAAATTTAATTAGAAGAGAAAGTAGAATAACGAGATTTGAATTCATAACTATTTAGTTATCGATGCTCTAGTGCTATATCAAAAAATCATCTTAACCCTAAATATTAAGCTATTAGATGAGGTTCTAAAAATAATTTTTTATTACTCTCTAATTGAGTAAGACTATGTGTATGAATGTACCACTACAACCATTAATATACAACCTAAATAGTTCTTAATGTATCACTACAACCATTAATATACAACCTAAATAGTTCTTACCATTTCATTGTAGACTACATCGTTTGCATCTTTATGATCCCAAATTCTGCTGCGTTTTCCAGGATGGTTAGGCGACATTTGACGAATTATCTCCCTTCCCATTTTTCGTAATATATCATGCATCAATAACTTCTTGCTCCAGGAGTCAATTGTTATGAGAGACCTTCCAATGAGAGTTCTGAAAGCTACTTCTGGATTGAAATCGTAACTGGCCTCTAATATTTTTGCTACATATTCTTTCTCTCCGCCAACAAAAAAGCAGGCAATATCAAGGAATATCTCCCTTGTATCCACATTCAGTGCATCATAACATACTTTAAGCTTTCCTTGAATATCATCATGTGGAATTTTTTGCCATTGGGCAATATCCATTTCCCATTCAGCTTTGTCTGTTTTGAACAAATGACAACCCAAAATTTGAAGAGCTAAAGGAAGTCCTTTGCAGTAGTCAACTACTTTTGCTGAGAGCTCTTCATAGTCTTTTTCTGGACGGGTATCCCTAAAGGCATGCCAACTGAAGAGCTGAAGAGACTGATCTGGATCCAATTCTACCGCATGATATATTCCATCCACCTCCAGTTGTGTTAGCAGATCCTTATTCTTCGTTACAACCATAATTACACTTCCAGCACCAAACCAACTTCTCTCTCCTATCAATGTGTCCAGTTGTTCCCTTTGATCTACATCGTCAAGAACAACAAGAACTTTTTTCCATGAAGTCGTTCTTTGATCAAATTCATTCCTTCATAAACATTACTGATCTTCCAAACATCTGGTTTCAGAATATCATGAAGAAGGCGCTTCTGTAACTCAAGCAGACCATTGGGTTTTGCTGATATTTCTTTGACATCCGAAAGAAAACTACTTCCCTCAAATCCAAAATAAAGTGTGTTAAATACAGCTTTTGCTAGTGTTGTCTTTCCTATTCCTGCTATCCCATGTATGCCCACGATGCCAACATCATTTCTAGCACGTCTTAGCATGGAAATAATACTCTGAACTCGGGAATCAATACCTACTGGGTGTTTGGCAACATGTAAGGTTTTGCAGCCCAATTTACTAGCCACATCACTGAAAATCTTTTTGATAAATTCCGATTCATACCTGTTCGTAGTGAAAGAAAGTCATCAATGACGTGTAAACTAAATAAGCTTTCTCAAAGAAGTTTGCTATTATTCAAGATATTGCAATTAAGAATTAATATGTAGCTCTTATTAAAAAACAAAACGAATTAATATGTAAATGGAAGAGGAGTAAAAATTCATCAATGACGTGTAAACTAAATAAGCTTTCTCAAAGAAGTTTGCTATTATTCAAGATATTGCAATTAAGAATTAATATGTAGCTCTTATTAAGAAACAAAACGAATTAATATGTAAATGGAAGAGGAGTATAAGAGGCTTTTGTGTGCGTGTGTCAATGCCGGCTCAAGCCATAGGCCATTAAGGCCTATGCCTAGGACTCTCATAGAAAGGGGAGTCCCAATTAAAATTTTACCCTAAAGCTACACTTATGAAAAATGAGATAAATTAAAAGATGCAGTCTCCACCTAAATATGAGATATCATTCTTCTCTCTATCAATAGGTCATAGGTACTAAAGTTCCCGCATTGCAATGCTTCTATGTTTAGAGATATTATTATTTCAATGTTAAAAACTTTACATTTTTTAGATGTCTTTTCAATTACCTTCTACCTATAAAAGCTTTCAATTTTTATTTTAATGAGACAATTTTACTTACGGAAAAGTTTTAAAAAATATTTGTGAGTGAAACAATTTTTAGATCTCCAAATTTTGTTATTATATTCCTTTCTTTCTCCAAACAATCGGGGATCTCTTATAAAATCTTTTCTAATTAGCTTAGCGAGATGAATCTAAAGGTAATTTTTTAATTTATGCAAATAAAATTATGTATATAAATCATATAATATTTTTTTTTCAAATTTCTTTTTATTTTCTCAAGTGATTCTCTCCAGGTTTACTTAATTAGGTGTGGCAAGTAAATATAATCAAGTGCCAAAGTTTCTTACTCTTTTTATAATTATATTTTAATTTTATTATTTGAATAAAATATCTATTAGAAAGTATGCATCTAGATATGAAAAATATAAGAAAAAAGAAAAGTAGAACTAATTCAATCTCAAAAAGATACACTTGATAGATTTGTTACTAATATTAAACCCTAAATACTAGAAAAACAAGATAAAGATTTAAATGAAAATATAATTAAAAATTATTGAAAAAAATATTATTTTACCTAGGTTATATATATTATAAAGCCGCTCTGGTGTGTGTGTGTATAGGTTCCTGTTGATGTGTGCAAGTGGATCGATCTTCGACAGAGAAGAAAAAGATATACCCATTTGCGTCACTTTTTAGACCCCATCCCGATAGATTTCCAGCCTCTGTAAGAGCTTCTTTCCATTTGTTGACCTTCTCCATTTCTTCCTTGAAGCGTACTTCATGTTCATCAAATGCTTTTGCATAATTCCCAGTCTGCTTTCGAACATCTGAAGGATCCATATCATAGAATACAGGAAGGACAATCTGGCCGAGTTTGTGCCTGCACTTGAGAATATTTACAAGTTCGTTAAGACACCATCTGGAGGAAGCATAGCCTTCAGAGAAGACCACTATAGAAATTCTTGATCCTTCAATAGCCTTAACGAGCTGTGGGGAGATTTCTTCTCCCCTGGGAAGTTCATGATCATCCCTAAAAGTATAAATTCCGGCCTGGATTAAGGCAGTATAGAGATGATCTATAAAATTTTTGCGAGTATCTTCTCCTCTAAAACTCAGAAAGATATCATAGCTCCATCTAGGTCTAGAGGATGACGATGAGTAACAGGGGCAGAACTCGGAAGCCATATTACAGGCACAAATCAGTAACGTAAGTAGCAAATTGGAAAGGTACCTTGGCTGAAGAGTAGAGAAGAGTGAAGTTTAATGGCTATTTTTCTCCATGAGAAGGGACATTCTTTCTCGCAATAAAGTAGTTACGTCAAGGCATGTAAATAACCTTATAAGCGATATTATTGAGGATAGGTTTCGTGAAAGTTGGGGATAAATAAGTTCCCATTTTCGCATCTAATAGTCAATGGAATTCACTAGTTTCGTGGAAAAAAATCAGTGAGGAATTTTCTCAAACGTTCGATAGACAAGAATAAGTCAATTGACGTAAGAGGCAGGTCATGCATGAAATTGACACCTTCACTTATTTTTACATGGTCCAGGTAAGGGGTGAGAGTCAGCTGCGCACTGAGGAGAGCGGTCGTTGTTGATCAATAAATTTTTACATGACTACCGTTCAGTCATCAATAGGGGACTTCATGAATTTTTACATGACTTCCGTTCAGTCATCAATAGGGGACTTCATGAATTTTTACATGACTTCCGTTCAGTCACCAATAGGGGACTTCATGAAATTATTGTTGATGTTATAGTTTACCCTTCCTCAAGGGTTGCTGACTTATGGAAACTACTTTTCGTGAGTTGAAAATATTTGATTTGATATGCATGTCCCCTCACATGGTAAAGTTTTTCCTTACCATGACCTATCGTTATCATTATCTCTCTGGAGTCTATAACGTAAAAATTGGATTTCCTAAATATTTCATAGAGATAAATTAGTCTTTCTAATTTTTTTATATTTAAATGAATTAATTAGTTTTTTTTTAAAAAAAAACTAATTATTTTATTATTTTATTAAATGAATTATTTTGCTTAGTTTACCCAATGATTCTCTGCCACCTATATAATCTAGTCAACCCTTTGACCCGGAGAAGGATCACCTTCCTTCCTTCCCAATTCATCTTTTTTTCTGCCTTACTTATAAAGGACCCTTCTTTGGATTTTCTTTTTGACAAATAGCTAGAAAAAATGAGTAAATTATAAACCAGTTCTTTATTTTTTAAAAACTAATTAATTATTTTCTTTAAAAAAAACTTATTATTTAATATATTGACTAGTGTTAAACACGTTTTATTTAATATTATTTTATTTCAAAAAAAATTCTTATCAATACTTATATATTTTTTACTTATTTTTTTATTTTTTAAATCAAAATAAATTAATAATTAATAATTAAGTTATAAAAAAATTAGAAATTCAAGAACTAAATAATTAGTTTTTAAAACAAGAATGACTAATTAATTTATTTTTTAAAAAATAATTTATAATTTACTCTAGAAAAAACACCATGGGTTTTTTTTTTTTTTTTTTGTTTTTTTTGTTTTTTTGTTTTTTCCTCCTGTCTTCTCCATACATAAACACCTTGTAGCATATAAGGATTAGGAATGAATTCAAAGCAACAAGTAGATTTATATATGATCATTTATGTTGTAAGACTATTAATACAAATATGCTGCGTAATTTATAAACGACCAAATGGCTTATAACTTCATAGGTTGCTGTATCATAGAAATGAGTGTAAGATGTTTCTTTAGGATTGTTCATCAAGTTATGCCCTGGACAGTGAGATTTTGTCTTTCGTGTTGCTTCATTCACCCTTCATTTGTTAGGCTTCCAGGTATAATTTCCTTTAATTCTTATGATGTCTGGGTTACGCAATAAGGATAATCTGCCTTCTCTCTTGGGCGATTGAGTCTATCATCAGGTTTTTTTTTTTTTTTTTGAATTTAATCAACTTTACTAATTAATCTTAAGTTGGCTTAGCATACAACTTGTAATTGTAGGACATGAAATGAATATTTAGCAAGTCACCAGGTTCAAATTTCAAACGGAGCATAAATTAAGCACTAAAATGCTAACTGTTAAGAGTTGCTTGAAATAGAGGGAACGTATCTATACGTTTGAAAATCTGATGAATCACATCAGCCCCCTAATAAATAGACAATTCTACTCTTATATCAAACATAGTACAATAGCATTATAAGTCACCATAGGCAGTAAACAATAATTAGATGGCCGGGTAGTCATGGCTCAATCCAAATGTTGATCACCATGGCAAACTGACACACATGCTCTACTAGACTAGGAAGCAAGTCTCCTTGCAACCCAAAACAAGATTCTGATTCAATCTACGCCGAGGTCAAACAACCGCCATATACGTAGAGTTAACGATCCACATGATGTAATACGAATAAAAGCTTTATTATTTATGATTAATACAAATCGAATCTATATATTAAACAAAGTTGTTTGATTTATATATATTTATTAAAAAAATACTTAATAATAGTAGCATAAAAATTTGTATTTAAATAACTAGTTAGTAGGTTCTTCCAAAACATTATCTAACTTATTTTATTTAAAAAAAATAGAGGATAAAAAATAAATAACAAATATTTAGTATTATGTGCGCAAATATATATTTAATTTCTACTAAAAATAATATATATAAACGTAAATAAAATTTTTAATTTTTTAATTGATTATTATTTAAAAAAAAATTGAGGCAAACGATCTAAAACATACTTTTAACTCTCTCCCTCCCCCTCCCTCCCTATGTGTGTGTGTGTGTATGTGTGTGTGCGCGCATAATAACCAAAATTTATAAATTATAATAACATATTTAAAAAAATAAAACAGTCATTTAAAAAATAAAATTAATTTACTATATAAATTATAATAATATATTTTTTAAAAATAAAACATCGACATTCATTCACATATTAAAAAATAAAATTTTTTAACAAATAAAATTATATCAAAAAATTAATTTGATGAGAATTTTAATAAGAAACAAATAATTGAAGAAATAAATTTTAAACAATAAGAGTAATATAATCAAATATATATGTTCAAACTAAAATCTTAAAAAATATCATATATATTCTATCATCTTTAAACTATAATTAAACCTAATATATATGTGTGTGTGTGTGTGTGTGAAGAGAAAAACAAATAAAAAGAAAAAAAATCTCGTTAAATTGTATGAAATATATTGAAGTGAATAGATTAAAATAAAAACTACAACAAAATTCATTCTAATAAATTTCAAATATATATATATATATGTAACTTGTGAATTTTTTTAATTGATTATTAATTTTTTTTATAAAAAAAAGTGAGTCAAGCTATCCAAAATATACTCTTAACTCTCTCTCTCTCTCTCTCTCTATATATATATATAATCAGAATTTACAAATTATAATAATATATTCATTTGAAAAGCATAAAAATAATTTATTCTATAAATTATAATAATATATTTTAAAAAAATAAAGCACCAACGTCCTAAAATTTTATTTCAAAATTCATATATTAAAAAACTAAATTTATTAAGAAATAAAATTATATCAAAAAATTAATTTGATGAGAATTTTAATAAGAAATAAATAATTGAAGAAATGAATTTTAAATAATAAGAGTAATATAATCAGTTATATATGTTCAAAATAAAATTTTAAAAAATATCATATATATTCTAACATCTTCAAACCATACGTAAAAATAAAAAAAATAAAGATTTATTTTTTATATTTTTCACACTTAATTTTATGATATATATATATATATATATATATATATATATATATATATATATATATATAGAAAAAAAAAGTCAGAAAAAAAGAGGCCAGGCTGCACTGCATATAAATATCCTTTCTAAGAATACATCCTAATGGTGTTTTTCCTGTCACTGTTGTCTTTCTTTGACTCATCTTAATGGTTCAAAGATTCATTATGTCGACATCATAGTTCGCCATCCATGAATTTTACTAGTGTTGCATAGCCATAGCTTTTGTTTTGTGCAAATGGTGAATGATAACAACAAATTTATTTTTCAATTATCAAGCTATCATGCTCTTGTTACAGCCATGATGGTAATTCAAGAATAAATAACACCCAAGCATGCAATTTATCTTGTTCTCTCTTTTTATTCAAGCTTGGAGATCATGGACCCATTTCCCTTCTCTTCCATCATTCAATTTAAGTATGGGCTTGGCTCAAATAAGTGAACCTTAATTATTTGCCCATTTTATCTATTCTATGGCAGATAGAAGAATGAAAAAGGGCATAAAAAGTGGTCGGGTAGCTCATTGCTTTTCTCTTCCAAAAAGAAGGCCAGAAACACAGTGGCTAAAGTATTAGATTTGTTTCTATGGCAGCTTTACTTTTGATGTTGTTTTGATGTGCATTAGGTGTGGATTTTTTCTCTCCATAATAAGGAAATCTGCTGTTATTTTCTTTATATATATTAAGTGATGAGCAGATTTTTATTTTTTAGGGTTGTATAAAGAGATCCTGCCTTGTAATACTTGACAATATGGTTATTTCAGTTTTAGCCAACTATGCTCTTGTATTTTGTGCTGTTTAGTTTTCATCTGTTGTGTAGTTTCTATCTTCTTGTGCTAAGTAGTTTGCCTTTTGTACTACTTTTCCAACAAATTATAGTCATTATAACATAGTCTATAGCGAAATATACAGAGTTTGTTTGTAATAAAAAAATTAAAATAGAACTGCAGAAAAATTCACAAGTTTGAATAATTTCTAAATAATGGATAATGGTAGTTAAATGTCGACAAACAACATAAATAGCCAGTCTAAGATGACTAAACCAAGTGTTATACTCAAATTTAATTTCGACTTTAGCCCAATAAGTTCAATAAATAAAGATGAATACATCTAATTAAGTTCTTAAAAGGCTCTGCTTATCCCTCTTTTTTTATTGGCTTCACTTAAGTTCACTGGGTATTTCTTATCAAAGAAGGTCATCCCTACCCTATAAGCCCAACACAACCAGATTCTGCTGCGTTTTCCAAGATATTTGAGTGACATTTGACGAATAATCTCCTTTCCCATGTCCCGTAACTGATTATGCATCCTTAACTCATTCTTGAGATTAATTGTTACGAGAGACTTCTGTATGAGAGTTTTGAAAACCAAATTTGGTTTAAGATTAC